CGACCTAGACCTCTCAGAGAACTCTTTCTCCGGCGAGATTCCGAAGGGGGTTTCGAGGCTGAACAATCTGAAATCGCTTCGACTCGGTCTCAACTCATTCTCCGGCGAAATCCCTTCAGAGCTCGAGAAACTCAAAAAGCTTCAAACACTCGATCTCTCTGGAAACTCGTTCTCTGGAGTTTTACCGAGTCGACTCGGTGAGTTGCCTCGTCTTCTCTACCTTGACCTAAGTGACAATCATTTCTCAGGCTCTCTTCCTCCGTCTTTCTTCCTCAGCTTTCCGGTTTTGTCTTCACTCGACGTCTCAAACAACTCACTCTCCGGCGAAATCCCACCGGAAATCGGGAAACTGAGTAACCTCTCCGATCTCTACATGGGCATGAACAGATTCTCCGGTAAAATCCCGCCGGAGATTGGTAACGTCTCGTTGCTCAAGAATTTCGTTGCTCCGTCTTGCTTCTTCAAAGGACCGTTACCAGAAGAGATATCGAAGCTGAGAAACTTAGCAAAACTCGACCTTTCTTATAACCCACTCAAATGTTCGATCCCTAAATCAATCGGAATGTTGCAGAATCTGAGTATACTGAATCTTGTCTCTGCAGAGCTTAATGGATTGATCCCACCAGAGATTGGTAACTGTAAGAATCTCAAAACGTTGATGCTTTCTTTCAATGATCTCTCTGGTTCTTTACCATTTGAGCTATCAGAGATTCCTCTGCTTGCGTTTTCTGCTGACAAGAATCAGCTCTCGGGTTCGTTACCTTCTTGGATCGGTAAATGGAAGGTATTAGACTCGCTTCTGCTCGCTAGTAATCGGTTTTCGGGTGAAATACCTCGTGAGATTGAGGATTGTCCAATGTTGAGACAACTTAGTCTAGCTAGCAACTTGCTAACTGGTTCGATTCCTCGAGAGCTTTGTGGTTCAGGTGCGTTGGAAAACATCGATCTCTCGGAGAATTCCCTTTCGGGAAACATCGAGGAAGTGTTCGTTGCTTGTTCGAATCTTCAACAGTTGTCTCTTATGAATAATCAGATCAATGGTTCTATACCTGAGTATCTTTCTAAGCTTCCGTTGATGGCTCTTAACTTGGATTCAAACAACTTCACTGGAGAAATCCCTTTGAGTCTTTGGAATTCAACCGAATTGATGGAGTTTTCGGCTTCTTGTAACCGTCTACAAGGCTATTTGCCTGCAGAGATTGGTAATGCAGCTTCATTGCAGCGGCTGGTTCTCAATGATAATCAGCTCAAAGGTGTAATCCCAAGGGAGATTGGGAACCTAAGTTCTTTATCTGTCTTGAATCTGAATTCGAACAAGCTTCAAGGGAAGATACCAACCGAGCTCGGCGACTGTTCTGCTTTGACTACATTGGACCTAGGCAAGAACAATCTCCAAGGACAGATACCAGACAGAATCACTGCTCTTGCTCAGCTTCAATGCCTGGTTCTTTCTTACAACAATCTCTCGGGGTTGATTCCATCGAAACCGTCTGCTTATTTCCATCAGACCGACATGCCTGATCTGAGTTTCCTTCAGCACCATGGGATATTTGATCTCTCCTACAACAAATTGACTGGTCCTATACCGAAAGAACTCGGCGACTGTGTGGTAGTGGTTGAGATTTTGCTGAGTAACAATAATCTCTCTGGAGAGATCCCAGCTGCACTCTCCCGTTTAACCAACCTCACAAAACTGGATCTATCTGTAAATGTCCTTACTGGTTCCATTCCAGAGCAGATGGGGCACTCTCCTAAGTTGCAGGGATTAAACTTGGCGAATAATCAGCTCAATGGCAATATACCGGAAAGCTTTGGCCTTTTAGGTAGCTTGGTGAAGCTAAACTTAACCAAGAACAAGCTGGATGGATCGGTTCCCGCTTCACTTGGGAACTTGAAAGAGCTTACACACATGGACTTGAGTTTTAACAAGCTAAGCGGCGAGCTTCCATCAGAACTGTCTCAGATGCTTAACCTTGTAGGCTTCTATATTCAACACAACGGCTTTTCAGGTCCTATTGAGAATCTGTTCTCCAGCTCCTTGGCTTGGAAAGTTGAAACAATGAACTTCAGCGATAACTTCTTCATTGGTAGCTTGCCAAGATCATTGGGGAACTTGTCCTACTTGACTAACTTGGATTTGCACAGGAATCAGTTCACAGGAGAAATCCCTTCAGATATTGGTAATCTTATGCAGCTTGAGTTCCTTGATGTCTCTGAGAACAGGTTATCCGGAGAAATACCAGCAAGGATCTGTGGATTGTCTAATCTTCAGTTCTTGAATCTAGCCAAGAACAGTCTGCAAGGAGATGTTCCGAGAGATGGTATTTGCCAGGATCTTAACAAGGCATTGCTTTCAGGGAACAAAGGCTTGTGTGGAAGAGTTATTGGATCAGTTTGTAAGATCGATGGAACGAGTTTGCTGAGTGCTTGGGGGCTTACAGGGATTGTGATTGGGAGTATGATCTTTGTCTTTGTCTCTGTTTACTCTCTTCGCAGATGGGCTTTGAGAAAGAGAGTAAAGCAGAGAGATGATCCTGAGGGAACGGAAGAAAGCAGACTGAAAGGGTTTATGGATCAGAATCTGTATTTCTTAAGTGGAAGCAGATCAAAGGAGCCATTAAGCATCAATGTGGCTATGTTCGAGCAGCCACTTCTCAAAGTGAGTTTAGCCGACATTGTAGAGGCAACTGATCATTTCTGCAAGAAGAACATCATAGGAGACGGTGGTTTCGGGACAGTGTACAAAGCTAGTTTACCCGGTGAAAAAACAGTTGCGGTCAAGAAGCTAAGCGAAGCCAAGACTCAGGGAAACCGCGAATTCATGGCGGAAATGGAGACTTTAGGGAAAGTGAAGCATCAGAATCTGGTCTCATTGCTTGGATACTGTTCTTTCAGTGAAGAGAAGCTTCTGGTGTATGAATACATGGTGAATGGAAGCTTAGATCATTGGTTAAGGAACCAAACCGGGATTCTTGAAGTACTAGACTGGTCCAAACGCCTCAAGATCGCGGTTGGAGCCGCAAGAGGACTGGCCTTCCTACATCATGGTTTCATCCCTCATATCATCCACAGAGACATCAAGGCAAGCAACATTCTCTTAGACAGCGAGTTTGAGCCAAAGGTCGCGGATTTCGGCTTAGCGAGACTGATCAGTGCTTGTGAGACTCATGTAAGCACAGTCATTGCAGGGACATTCGGGTACATTCCTCCTGAGTATGGCCAGAGCGCGAGGGCCACGACCAAAGGAGACGTGTATAGCTTTGGGGTGATTCTGTTGGAGCTCGTGACGGGGAAAGAGCCGACCGGTCCAGACTTTAAGGAGAGTGAAGGTGGGAACTTGGTTGGTTGGGTGATTCAGAAGATCAACAAAGGGAAAGCTGTTGATGTTCTTGATCCTTTGGTTCTGACGGTTGCTTTCAAACACTCAATGCTTCGTCTGCTTCAGATTGCGGTTCGCTGTCTCGCGGAAACTCCAGCTAATCGACCGACGATGCTAGATGTCTTGAAGGATCTCAAGGAGATTTGAGTTAAAAACCCTAAATGTTGTTGTTTGATTAGGTTACTTGTTGTTTAAGTAACTGCTAACTCGAAAAGAAGAGAGTGTAGGGGCTTGTAATGTTGCTAATGTTGGTGTAAACTTTGTTCTGAGATTTTTAGTATTTAACAAACAGAAAGTTGAGCTTTTCGAGTTTCCAAATAATATAAGTTTGTATTCATGATTGTAAAATCAGTTTTAAGTTATGATTGTAAAATCAGTTTTAAGTTATGTTCAAAGGAAATTATATAAACCAATCCATAACGAAATTTAAGTTTATGTTAAAAGGAAAAAAAAAGACTTGGAGAAAGCACAAAAAACTGAATCTGAGGAGAATTTTGTTTATAAATTTGATCAAACATTGTTATTCTAATACCGAACTAAATAAATTGATTCAATTCCGATTTCGAATAGATTCAAAATTCTCTGATTAACTCAGAAACCCAATATTATTTTATTTTATCCAAAACAAACACTCATAAAATTGACAGAAATGCCCTTCTACGTTCAAAACAAAATTTATGAGAGACAAAAAAAAAATGAAAATTGTAAGAGAAAAAAAAAAAGAAGAAAAGAAATTGGAATGTAGCTGTTTGATGTCAAGTCAGTATCACGAACACAGTTTGGTCAGTAAATAATGTTATTGAACAGAGAAGAAACATCTTTAATCCAAACTTCTGGGTTTATATTTAAAGTCACTCCCAGTTCTTTTGTTTCTTTAGTTGTATGAGTTGTGAGATCATGAGAGTACATACAAAACTCACTAAGGGTCACTTAATACGCCAAAAATTGGTTCGTATTCATCATTATCCCATTAGTGTGTTCATATGAAGATATTCTTCATCGTTAATCATCGAAATCTAACATGATTTTTTTGGAACGGAACGGAGTTCATATAAAGAAATGGTAATCATTTTATTATTTTGAAACGATATAAGTTTTATAATTTAAAGCTTAATAAAATTTTGATATAAAAAAATTAAATCCATTTCGAGTTAAGGAAATTAGACCATATATTAGTATCTTAAGACATAATTCTATCTAAAATTTTTGCCACATGAAATTCTATTTTTACCCTATAATTTAATGATAGCTAACTATTGAAATTCGAGGTACATAGTGAACTACATATTTAACCATTTTTATGATTCAATGTTTTACATAGTTAACTATTTTATGATAAAATAGCTAACTATGCTTACATGCAATCCTCTACATAGTTAGCAAAGTTAGCTACATACAGTGCTTTATATATTATATATAAGCATAGTTAGCTATTTCATGATTAAATGCTCTATATAGTTAACTATTTTATGATAGAATAGCTAATTATCCTTACATACAAAGCAAATGATAAAGTTAACTAGATTTAGTTATAAGTGTTAATTAGAAAACTATAAGCTTAATAGCTAACTATGCTTATATACAAAGCAAACTACAAAGTTAAATAGGTTTAACAAATATTACCAAAAGATATGCAAATGATTGAATAGTAAATTATATTTGTCTATTATTTTTGTTTTGTAAATTATATTAGTTAGTAACCTAATTATGTAGCCCAAAACAAATATTAAACTAATTAATTAACCCTTTCGAGTTATTGGCATCCTTCTTTATAGAATTACTACTTTATGTTTTAGAATATATATAATTTTTAGATAAGAATCTACCTTTCGAGTAGCAGAGAAAGTCTTGAAAATTGGAGCGATTTGATGATTTCTTGTAGCTGATAATGTTTCTTTAAACATCACAATCGTTTTGTTATGATTTGATATGCTCTTGAGAATGAGTTTTGTTGTTATTTAAACATTACAATCTCTGACTATTGTAAGTTTTGAGAAACTATATTTTGGGTAAATTTTGATCAAAATCTTTTAATATTGAACACCATTGTAAAGTAAGACATGAATCAAACATAGTTTATTCCAAGAATAGTTGGCATCAACAAAATTTATTCTACCAAGTATATCCCTTGCGTTGACATGTCTTCTAACCTCATAAAAAAGGATCCTTGACGTGGATAGAAAAGTAAAATCGTTGATTCATTTCAGTCAGATGCTTCTCGTGTTATTTTGTTTTGCAATTTCAAGGGTTCTTTCTTCTATTTTGGATCAAAAGGTTGTGTAATATATACTAGCTTTATTTCGATGAGGACGTTGATAAAAGTATGTTATTAGCCAACTTAAATTGGGTACCACAAGCAAAGAGTATTAATATTTTAGTATCCGATCAATTCAGGAAGACGTTGATAAAAAGTATATTACATATTTAGGTAACTTAAAACATAAAAAAACGAGAGCAAAGCAATAATATTTTAGTATCCCATGGGCCATCTTCTTGTTCATTGTAGTATCCCATCGGCCATGTAATCTCCAACTTCTTGTTCATGGCATGTAGATGACATGACATCTACAAACTAACGCAAATCAGTTTTAGGTTTTCTTACAATGAAAAATGTAATGAGGAGAGGAAGTGAGGATGCTTACATCCTGCGAAAGATCTTCCCAGCTCTAGGGGATGGTCATATTACACTCGTCGGAGCCAGGATAGTCAAACAGTTTGGAACACATGGAAGGATCATTGTTCTCGTCTACAAACGCCAACACCAAGTCCTCTTCTTCTTGTTCATGACAAGAAGCAACCTCCATCTTCTTCTTCTCCTACCAAACGCAAATCCATTGTGAAAAAAGATAAGAGGTCGTCGATTTTCAAATGTAATGATACAAGCTGAGACTAGGAGGGTAGCTTACTTTTACTTTCTGTGCATGTTTTTCACTGGTCAAGTGGATGTCAAAATTCAGATGGTCGTAGCCAGGATAGTTGCAAATTGTGCAAAGAAAACGAGGCTTATTACGGAACTTGTTTAGAGGCACCATGCTCCACAACTGCTTGAAAAAAAGAAAACATGAGGATACAGAGATATTTTCTTACAATGGTTAGAAAGTAGGAGGGAGGCAAAGGATGCTTACTTTTTGTGAATGAGATGTAGTCTCGAGATGGTTGAAGAAATCATCACAGCTTTGGCTAGGAATTTCGCACAGTGTGCAATACCACGAGGCAGGTTCATCCTTCAGCAAGCTTGAATTCTCTGACTGAGTCAAACGTATACATGAGCTGTTTGTAATTGTATCCACAAGACATGATTTCTCTTCCAATAAGCTTGCCCAGTCCCATGCGTGAGTAGACGTGCAGGGCGGGAATGACTGAGGATTTGGAAGTGCGCGAAGAATAGTGTATCCGAGGGAGAAACAAAAGGAATTAATCCAGGAGCGATCGGCGGAGATGAGCAGTATTTTAGCCGGAGGAGGATTACGCCTTTTCCATTCGTGCCAAAGAGTGAGGACTGCCTCCCAGCCACTGACGGCGTGTATAAGAAGGATTCCAGAGGAAGAGATCTCTTTCAAGACTTGAGGAGAGATGAATTCTAGGTTGCCGATGCAAAAGATGGTGACTGGGCAACCAGGACCAAGGTACCCCTGCAACGCCGATTCTATACGCCAACGGACAAGACCAGGGTCATAACCATCGGGAATCGGACAGGTGTTGATGTCCCACCACACCCCAGTCGTAGGGGCCGATTCTATACGCGAACCGACAAAACTAGGGTCAGAACCATCGGGAATCGGAGAGGTGTTGATGTCCCGCCACACCCCAGTGGGGGTCTTGTGAAAGACTATATATAGGGGGAAAAACAGATGGCAGTCAGGCCGATAATCTAGAACGGAAAGAATGGAATCCAAAATACCGACCTCGTGATATCTTTGATCTCTGGTTGAATAAGCGGAGGTAGAATGAGAGGTGGGAGAGACAGGACATCTACAAACAAACGAAAATCAGTTTGAGGTTTTCTTACAAGCTGAGACTAGGAGAGGGATGCTTACATTCTGTGAAAGATCTCCACCGGTCCAGGGGATGGTCAGGTCCAAGCCGGGACAGAAGTCAGGATAGTCAGAAAGTTTCAGAAAATGGGAAATATTATTGTTCTCGTCTACAAACGCCAACACGGATTGGACGAGCTGGTGGAAAAAAAAGGAAAGAGGTCAAATTTTGATAATTTCGATTAGGAGGAGGCAAAGGAGGATGATGCTTACCTCACACGTGTGTTCTCTGCTCTGGAGATGCTTGTAGAAAACATCAACGCTTTGGCTAGGAAATCCGCATAGTGTGCAAAACGAGACATGTTCACGCTTAGGAGGTATCGGGGTGATTGGCATGAAACCATTCTTGCCTAGGACTAATAACTCTTCCCAGACCCACTCATCATAAGCCGGGTAGCCTGGTGGGCGAGGAGCTGGAAAGGCACGAAGAATACAGTATCCCAAGGAGTGAATAGAGGAATTAAACCACGAACCAGTAAACCACGAAATATCACCGGATATGAGCATTATAAAACGAGCTGATGGATAACGCTTTTTCCATTCCCGCATATGATCACAAAGTGCCGACCAGCCTGTGAACAAACAAACAAAAAAACCCATTAGGTTGAATACAAACATCTTCAAACAAACTATTTTAACAAAAATAATAATTCCTCTAACCAAAAAGGGGGACGTGTCTAAGAAGGATTCCAGATGAAGAGATCTCTTCCAAGACCCGACGAGGGATACGCTCTAGGTTGCCAACGCAAAAGATGCTCAACTCAGTTAGAATGAAGTGCCTCCTCAACTGCCGTTGTATATGCGAGTGGACACTATCAACGTCAATCCCATCGGGAACCGGACAGGTGTTGATGTCCCACCACACCCCAATCGGGCTTCGCAACATCTACAACGGAAAATTACAGATCGCAGC